CTGGCTCAGCAAAGGTCGCTGGCTCCTTGCCAGAGCCCCCCCCCCCTTTGGCATCGCACCCCAAACTTCCCGCTGGCAGCCACCCACGCACCGGTGGGACAAGGGGGTCCCTTGTCCTGGGTCCCCCCCACCTCCACCCCAAGGGAATTCCGGGAATTTGTGAGACTCAGCACAAAATCCTGTGGGATGGAGGGTGGTGCGAGGCTGGATTCGGCCAGCCAGGCCTGCGGCTGCAGTGGTGGACTCCTGGCTTGGCAGCCGAGGATGAGCTGAGCGGGAGAGGAGCTGGAGGGGTCAGGGACACATCCTGCAAACTGTGTCCCCCACCTGGGTCTGCCCTTGCTCCGGGCATCCGTGCCTGCCTGTGCCATCCGCAGGCTGCACAGGTGCACAGAAGCATGGGGGCACGCCTGCAAGGGTGCAGGAGTGCATGGATGCAGAGATGTGTGCGTGCACAGAAGCACGGGTGCAGGAGTCCATGGGTGTACAGGTACACGGGTACTGGGCTGGTGGGGTGCAGGGTTTGCAGGGCACCCCTGGGCTGGGGGGGGGATAGCACCCCTGGGGCCCACCATAACACCCCTGGGACCCCCACAGCACCCCAGGATCCCCAAAGCACCCCTGGGACCCCCCCATGGGACCCTCAAAGCACCCCTGGGACCCCCATAACACCCTTAGGACCCCTGTAGCACCCCCGGGACCCCTGTAGCACCCCTGGGACCCCCGCATGGGACCCCTCAAGCACCCCTGGGACTCCCAAAGTACTTCCAGGACCCCAAAGCACTTCCAGGACCCCCATAACACCCTTGGGACACCCATCACACCCCCAGGATCCCTGTAGCACCCTTAGGACACCCATAACAACTCTGGGACCCCCAAAGGACCCCTGGGACCCCCATAGCACCCCAGGGACTCCCGTAGCACCCCCAGGGGAGCCCGGATGCCTGGGTCCCTCCCCAGGCAGCCGAGCAATGTGCTGACTCAGCAATCCCTGCTGACAGCACCCATGGGCGTGGGTGGGGACATGAATGGAGCGATTGACGGTGGGACGGCGCGGGGGCCCCAGGGAATTCAGCAGCACCCGCTGCGCCCACCCCAAGCCTTGGTGAGGTGGATGCTGGCACCCTGAGATCTCCTCAGCACCCAAGGGCCCTCCAAACACCCAGGGGTGCTGCATGGCTCCCCGAACACTCAGGGGTGCTGCAAAGCCCACTCAGCACTCAGGGGGGCTGCAAGACCCCCCAGCAGGGCTGAGCACCCAGGGGTGCTGCATGCCCCCCTGAGCACCCCCGGGTTCCCCACTGTCACCCCCTCCCCACGCAAACACCTGGTGCTGCTCAGCACAGGGCGAGAGCCGGATTCAGCAGCCAGAGGGGCACGCGTGTAACATCGTGCGGTATCTCTTATCGGAGCGAGAAGCCCTGCACGGGAAGCCTTGTGTGCGTGCAGGATGAGGGGGGCAGAGTGCTGATAGCGCAGAGGTGAGGAAGGGTGCAAACACCACAAGAAGGCCCGAGGGTCACCAGCGTCTCGCTTATTTGCAGATCATCCACCTGCATCTGGTCTGCTGGGATGCGCTGCTTCCTACGCAACACAGCCGCCCCTCTCGCACAAAGCCGCTTCCAGTCTCTTCTCGCCTGCCTTCAGGATGTTGCCTGATTTTTTAAAAATCTTTCGTCAGCATCTGTTGACTCGCTACCGTCACTCCCACAACCTGGATGCCACATGCAGACCAATATAGCAATCCCGGGGGCTTACTCTGGGGGAAAAAACCCCCCAAACTATTCCACAGGTTCCTTGTGCTGCTTCCCCCCTGGGGAGTGGGGTGGGGGGCGTGGACAGAAACAGCCAGCAGCCCTTGAAAGCTGTCAAGTGCAGAGGACTGAAGTGCTCGAGCCACTTGGATGCTTTTTGGTAGCGAGGCAATGACTACTGCTGCCTGGGCTGTGAGTGGGAGAAGGGCAGAGAAGTGTAAGCCCTGTCCCCCCTGCGGGTAGTGCCTGCCTTTGGGATGGCGGAACTGGGCTGAGAGCCGTCCCTGCTCAGTCGCCCAGGGCTCAGAACGATGGTGAGTGCTGCTGCCGCCCGGCGGCCGGCGGTGGGACTGCAGCTCTAGGGCATGGAGACGGCCTGGCTGGGAATGGCCCCACCCCCAGCGACAGGCCC